ACGACCATTGGCCGAAATTTAAATAAAACGACCACTTGGGTCGATATTGTGCGAATATTACATAAACGGGAAATAGCCCGGAAAAACAAATACAATAAATGTGGCACACAGGCCGAAATAAACATAAAACAATCATCCTTCTACTTCTCCTTCAGCAACGGGCAACAGTTGGGCAGGATCCCCGGTAGGCTAGGCGACAATATCATTGAGATAATTAGGGACCAAAATCTGACTGACAGCTACATAATAATTGGCCCTCATTCCTGAGGTGTTGAGCTCAACACCGGGGTTCAACACACGCATCTGCTTTACAGCATTTTCAAAGCTCCCCTTGAAAGCAGCCTGAGCATCGTCCACGGGCAACTAAAAATGAGAAACTAGCCCAGCCTGAGTCTTCAGATCCTTAGTATCCTCCGGCTTGTCTTCAGCGGGCGTAATCTCGACAGTCAGGGCTTCCAACTTTCCCTCAAGGTCCTTTTTCTCGAGCAAGAGAACCCTGCATTCCTCAAAGAGCTTCAGGGCTTTATCTTTCGCAACCAAGGCGTTCTCCCTTGTAGCCAGCTTGGCCCGAAGATTCTTCATCTCTGTCTCCTGAGAGGAACTTCCCTCGGTGTAAGCAACCGCCGTCTCCAAGATCTGCATCAAACCCTCCAACATATTGCATCATCATCACCATCTTCTTCGGGCTGTCCATTCCCTCGAGATGGAGAGATTCGGCCCGGGGAAGACGGAGAGTCACGCCCTCGAAAAAAGACTTCTCCAGCCAGCAGCGAGGCAGGTCGTATGTTCCTTTCCATTTTTCCCATGTCGGGTCGACACTCTCATCGGCTTGCGGCCTCTTCGCCTTCGAGGAAACAACAACAAGAGAAAGAGTGACTGTAGCCTGGGCCAAAGATGAGTCATCTGACCCCGAGGCAAGAGCTGGCTCTGAACCAGTCTGTGTATCCTTTAGGACCCTCCTCGCCCTGATAGCAATTGTCTTAGCCAGGAACTCCTGAGTAGGATTCATGTTATCTGCAAAACAAACAAAAAGAAACATAGTCAGTAAACGAGGAGTCAAATAAACGATGACCACTTATTACTATTAGAAAAACACACACACACATGTGTGTGTATATATATATATATATATATATATATATATATATATATATATATATATATATATATATATATATATATCCAAGTATCTAACGGGGTCCTCGCTTCCGAGGAGCTCCTTGACGTTTATGAGACCCGACTCGTATACGGGCTCCCCGTTTTTATCCAACACGGGCCTACCTCTCCGACCAACTCGCTGGACCCGAGGGATCCGAGCCATGAACGTGGGCAGGACAGCGAAGCTCTCCAGATCCTCGTCTCCGAGCTCCCCCTCTCTCCAAACATAGGAGCCCAGTTTGCTATCAAAATGCTTCCTCGTTCATTGGAATGGGAACTTGTAAATCGGCTTCACAACAGGCTCCCCTAGCTCGTTTAGACGGGGAGTGCCATCCTTGTTTTGCATCGGCGTAGTCCTGAAGACGTTCAATATCTCCTTGGTCGAAGAAGGCTGCACCAAAATATACTTATCTTTGAAATGACTGACAGACTCCAAATAGGCTTTAAATAGCTTCTTGTTGCCTTGTTTCAGGGAAACCCATCCCCACTTTCCATCGACCTTGCTTCTCTAAAGGTGAAAGAAGTAGAATAATAAGGGAATGGTGGCCCCTATCTTCAAATGGTCGCAAACTATTTTGAATGCTCGCATGAACGTGATGTCATTCGGATGCAGTTGGGATGGAGCCACACACAAGTTCCTGAAAACGGCCACCTCGAAGTCAGAGAAGAGGAGGCGAAGACCCATCTCATGAAATACAATGTCATACATTGGGATCCGACTCTTATCGTATTTCGAGCAGATTCTGCTCTCTTTACCAGAGATGTATAACAATCATTCCTCTCGGGCCCCCTCCTCGTGAGTCTACACGTCCGTAAAGACATCCTCCTGGTGCTCATAAAAATATGAAGGCCAGTCCCAAGGGTCGTTCGCGACCCAATCCTGAGGTTCCTCCTCATTCCCGGGAGGAAACAGGCAACCATGGTCGGCGGAAGTCATCTCTATATCGCCATCCCCTGTTTGCTGCTCCATTTGATTCTACATATCCCTGGAAATTTCAAGGATGCTCGACGAACTACTCGTCCTGTCTGAAGAACTTCCCGAGGACTATATGGATTTACTCGAAATATAGATCCAGGCATTGTCAGCCATAACACCTGAAAAGCTGAGGAAAAATATGAGCTCGACATCAATGCCAGAACCACCCTTCCACCGCTAAACAAGCAAAAGGGCACTAGGAAACGAGGATCGTATCCCCGACCAGAACCCTCACTGAGGCGTATCAATGGACAGGAGTTGTAGAAAAGCCCTCAGCCCTAATGACCCATCTACGACACACCACGAGGTCCCCGAGGAGACCCCACGGCGGCTCTGACGTTTCTAAACTACAGAAACACCATCTATCGCCAACACTCTCCAACGACATCCTCGCAAACGGAACCCTAAATCCTAACCGCATGTATCTCTAGAAAGTAAAAGGCGAAAATGCGAACTACTGAAAGCGAACAACAATGGAAGATTGGAAACTTACTAGTTAGTAGAAGAAGAAAGGATGGAAGTAAGAAGCTGCGAGCAGAAAAACTCAACGAACAACGGTGGCCGACAGTCGAGCTAATACGAGCAGTTGAGAGAGAAGACAAAAAATACTAAACACCCTGTTCCTCTCGTATTTATAGTTGAAACAATTCGCGCGTACAAGACACGCGCCTGGGAAACCCTAGGGTCGTCATCATTACACCCTAGCCCCTAGGTCATCATTGTGTTGCTTCGTCAACACACTTCCCGAAACATGCTACCTCTCCAAATTCAAGAGTCCTAACGACTAACTCCTCGTATCCCCGCAAGCAAGGCGTAATGGGCAACACTCATTTCCCTGTAAGACACGCCCCGTTTCACGAGCAGATGTTAAAGTCATCACTCCTGCACCCATAAGCAACGACTTAGGGGCTACTGTTCTGGACTGGCCCGACAGCTTGACTCGGCCCGGTCTAAGACATTTCCTTTGGTACGGCCCACACGACCATGACCCGGATTGTCTGCTACCTGTTGGGTAATGTCAGCCATTTGCCCTCCCGAACCAGCATTGATCCAAGATGATCGACAAACATCCTCTCAGCCTGCTCGACATCAAAGTCGTGCAGGCCACCAGGAACCGACCAGAGAGATGTCCGTAACTGGCCTTCCCCTCAGAACCAACGGCTAGTTACAAGCACATTTGTCCGGTTTGACTAAGTCCTGGCAGTTACCCGATTTTACGGACTCACACATCCAGGCGTTAAATCAGGAACCAATGGCCATGCGCCAAGGACATTATATAAACCCTCACACCTGTGAGGGACAAGTATCGAATATTGACTATTCACCACCTAATACTTTGCTTGTATCTTCTTGTTTTCACTCTTACTTGGTCGTCGGAGTGCCTTGCAGGTACAACCCCCTTTTCTCCTCGACATCACAATCCGACTACAAATCATCTTCCGTCCACTTCTCAGATTCTGACCAATCGGTAAGATCACCTTTTTGAGAATATTTAACATCTAATGACTCCAAATTTTAGGCAAGAAACTTGTTGTGTATTTGAGAATACAATATAAATATCTAAAAAGCTTGCACGAGCCATCAACTTTGATAACGCTTCAGTTGAAGAAGCTTTTAAACCATATAACACTAAAGAAAATTACTCTATGTACACATGAATATAAAGAGAAATATTCTATTTATTATTCATTAGAGCATATAAATACTTGTTTGATTCTCAATTTTGACATAATGTTTTTAGTTTTAATCAAAAATATAATAAAAATATAGTTTAATGCCAATAAATTCAAGATTTTATTGATATAAAATTTTGGTGTGATAAAATTATGGTATGATCATTTTAATTACAGTTTAATTTTAATCTCTTAACTAACTATAAAGTTTCAATTTAGTCTCTTAATTAAATTATTGACTCACTATTTAGACTTTTGTGATGTTATCATGCTACATCATCATTAGTTAAAGTTTGTTCTAATATTTAATAAAAAATATTAAATTAGTTAATATAATTATTTTTAAAAAATTAAATTATAACGTTTATTAAATAAGAGACTAAAATAAAATTTGAAATTAAAAAAAAAAATTCATCATTAATTAAACTTAAATATTATAATTTTCAATTTTAAAATACTCATACATTCCAGTAGTCAACAATTTAAATATAAATATTTATATTATAAATAATGCTATTTAGTACGAAAGAATTAGAGTAAGAAATACAAAAATATATATCAGTTATTAATTTAATAGATAATTTTTAATTTATTGTAAATTACTTTTTTTTAATAGGAATAATAAAGAAGATTGAGATTTATATTTGTCTTTCTTATTTTCACTTTTTTTTCACAAATAAGCATTTTCCATGATTATTTTGCAAAAACATAATATTCTCTCACCTTTTTTCTTAAGAAAGTAACTATTCTTTTTCGACAAAACTTCCACTTCCCTTTTTAAACCCAATCAATCATTATCAACACCATATTTACATTACTTATAGACATAATTATCATACTCTTAACAAAAATCCAGCACACCCATTTTAATTTTAGTAAAGTAATCAATGCAATACACACCACAGCACACCCCTAAACCTGTCATTGAATTCAACGAACCGAATATAATTAACTAATGGCTCCAAAAAATCACCACTTTTCTCCTTCTCAAAACAACAATACCAAAAAAACTCTCACAATATTAATCCGAATAATCAAGTTGAATAAATATAAAGTTCTTCTAAATTCATTCATAATCTAATTTAGATTTTCACTCATTCGGTTACTATTTCTGTTCCTTCCAACGTTTCTCTTTCTTCTCTCTCTTCTTTCTCTCTCTTCTTCTGTTAATACAGAGAGAGAAGAGGAAAAAAATGGAAGGTTCCGCACTGTGGCAAGGTTCGGTTCTCGCTGGAATCCTCTTCTGGCTTCTTTCTTCTTCATATCTCAATCTCACTCTCAAACTTCGATCTTTCCTTCAACCTTTCGTTACTCACTATGTTCAAACCGGAACCCCGATTCTCCTCCAGATCCAGGTTATAAACCACAGAAATTCCCAGAAATTTATTACCTTTTTTTTCTTCAATGTTTTTGTTGTGAATGTTGATTTTATTTGAATTTTCGGTGATGCAGAGTTACAAAGCTGGATTCTTTGATATTCTTTTTTCTGGGTTATCTTGTGTTGTTTCCGTACCCTTTTACACCGCTTTTCTCCCTTTGTTATTCTGGGTACGTTTTTTTTTTTATGATACGGTGGAATTTGTTTATTTATTTATTTGAAAAACTGGAAATTTATTTGAATTTGGCTTCTTTTTTTTTTTTGTAGAGTGGTCATGGTCAATTGGCTAGACAGATGACGTTGTTGATGGCGTTTTGTGATTATATAGGGAACTGTATAAAGGTATGTGATTGTGTGTTTGTGTTTATATTCATTCAAATCAAAATTTGGCTCTGTTTAATCCTTTGTTTAGTTATATTTTGTGTTTGATGTTTGTGGACTCAAGGTGTTTGTTGTTTTGTCAAACTGTGTAGGATGTGGTTTCTGCGCCGAGACCTGCTTCTCCTCCTGTGAGGAGAGTAACTTCTACAAAAGATGAGGAGGAGAATGCTTTAGAATATGGTCTTCCTTCTTCTCATACACTCAACACTGTTTGCTTATCAGGGTAATTTGTTATTCGATTTGTTGTCTGATTTTTTTTCCACGAGTAAAGAACCGCGTATTTGTGTTAATTCAAAAGCTTCCATGCACCTAAGACTAGGCATTTTGTTTTTTTAGAATTTAGACTGCGAGAGTTTTGAGTCATGTTCTTAAGAATTGAGTAGGTGACATGCATGCCTTACAGTTCAAGTCACGTGGTTTAGCTTCATCTTTCTTATCTATTTTCTGGGCCAGTTAAGTGGAATAGAAAATAACTTAATAAGTGAAAACATGGTAATGCATTTGCAATCATGTATGACCATTTTTCATCTATTGTCAGCTTAATTGCTTAGAAGCTTGTAGTTTATTGAAGCCAGATTATGTAATGTGAAATTTGATTCTCTATGTTCGTCAATAATGAATTTTTTCCTTGGAATGGATGTTTATCAGCTATCTTTTGCACTATGTCCTGACTCATGCTCAAATTCAAGGTGCCTATGTTAATTACTTCGGAGTATCCCTTGCTTGTTTGTTTGTGGCCCTCGTTGGATTGGGTAGGCTTTTTTATTACTTTTTTAATCTATTAGCGGTTCCTACTTTTGGTCTATCGTGTGGCCGAACCATGAAAATTGTTTCTTATTTTTTGTAGGAAGAATTTATCTTGGTATGCACAGTTTGATTGATGTTGTTGCTGGCCTTTTTATTGGACTCGGAATCCTTGGATTTTGGCTTACAGTTGATGAATACATAGACAGTTTCGTTGTCTCGGGACAAAACGGTATTCTTCTGATTGATTAATTCAATACATGTTGATGGCTCGTGCTCATATTGTAGAATGTAAAAATAGAATTGGATTATATTTGTAACTGTGTATTCTCAAGTGTTTCAATTTTTTTTCTTAAGCATCTTTTCATACAAAAGCACTTTTTGAATTCTAGCTTATCTCAATCTGTTTTTTTGCAGTTACAACTTTTGGGGCTGCTTTGAGCTTCCTCTTGCTTTTTGCTTATCCAACTCCTGAATTTCCAACTCCAAGTTTTGAGTTTCACACTGCTTTCAATGGTGTTGCATTGGGAATTGTAAGTAGTTTCTCATCCTTTAATGTCATCTAAATGTATTCCAACTTTCTTCTTTTGTTATGAATGAATATACACTAGTTTATACTATAATCTATTAATCTCTTCTTCGTATAGGGTTAGATACATGATATGAGTGAAAACAAATTTTTATAATGTAGCACTTGAGTGGAGTCATAGACCAAAAGAAAACATCTAGGACTACTTTAATGAATTATAAGGACTAGCTATACACTACATTAAGTATTGTCTGCTCCACCTTACTAGTTCTAAACAGTCAAGTTTGAGGTGAATTGTTGAATGTGGATACATGCAGCGCAACTGTAAAGCGAACACGTCAAATTTCTGACGACAACCTAGAGAGCATTAAAGATCCATATTGTACTCGAGCATGCCAGTTACAGCTTGATATGCTCCAAGATAAACATTAGGCTCGTGTTAAATAGTGGCGCAATAGTGCTACTGAAGCATAGTGGGTTTTTATGGATCCGCTATGCAAACCACAATAGAAGCTGCTAATCAAGTTTCTGCTATCTGATGTTGTGGTGATGGCAAATTTTATTTTTACAGTTTTGAAAAATATTAAAACTGGGCTATCAAAAAAAATATAACTCGGGAATCTGCGTGTGTTTCAAATATAACCTATTTTTTTAATAAAAGAACTCAAGAGTCTGCAAGTTATACTCCTGTGTTTGCCATAATAATATTTGTATGCAGAGTGCCTTTATGTATAATAATAAATGACTTATTTCAACCGCTATGTGGCTTCCGCAATTTGTTCGCTATCTGTTATTTTACTTGGCAGATTATTGGTGTTTCTATTTTCCACTATGCGCTACTGATAACACTTTGTCAAGCTAAGTTTGAAATGTAGCTAAACACAGTCCACATTGTTGTAAATTTGTAATGCATTAATTTTGGAATAATTATTAGAAATAGAACCAAATACTCCTTGGGAATTGTTTTGGAAGTCCTTTAATGTGAATCGAACAATTCAAAAGCTAGAGCATATGGAATAATCTAGTACTTTGAGAAGGTAATTAGGAAAGGGACATGAATGTAAATACTTTCTGTGACGAGAGTAGTTAGTAAAATGAGAAAATAAGAGTTGATATTGTGACTAGCCATGATTTACTATCAACTATTGATTTGTTAATAAACGGTTGACTTTATTCACTTTATTCACTTTACTAATGTGAAGTTCTAGAGACACTTATTTAAGACTAAAAACATTCAATCTTACATATTTCGTTGGCATTTTCGTAACTTGCAAATTAGATTAATGTTTAAGACAGCAAAACATTCAATGTTGTATATTTCCTTAGCATTTTTGCAACTCAACCCATTAATTCAAGTGCTCATGCTCTTCAGGTGTCTGGGGTACAGCAAACATACACTCAATTTCATCATGCCGGTGTTCCTCAGTTATTCTCTGAACTGACAATACCCGTATTCATGGGAAGAATGCTCTTGGGAATACCTACAATTATAATTGTTAAATTCTGCAGCAAAACTCTTGCAAAATGGACTATCCCCGTGGTGGCAAACACATTGGGCATCCCAATAAAATCAACCACCTATATTCCCACATTTAACGGAGCTAAGACAGGAGAGAAGTCTAAGGCTTTTGATGTTGATACTGGAATTAGATTTCTACAATATGCAGGTCTTGCATGGTCCGTGGTCGACTTAGTGCCATCCATTTTTTCATACATGAACCTGTGACTTTCAGATTTTGTTATTATATTAAATTTTTGTATAGCAGGGTCATTATAATGTATCATACAAGAACAATAGATCAATGCAACCCAGTGAAATTTCATCTCGGTGAAAATTCAATGAAGATGTTTAACATAATCAATCTACGACTAACCTTTGATTGGATGAATCCTTCTGTCATCCCATGTTTAAGTTAAAATTTGCATACTAGAAACTAAATATTTATAGAGAGCAAGCATAAATAAAATGCCAATGATGGATGTATATTATATTCCATCAATTTATTTCACAAAAGGTATTTAAATTCCGAGCACTTTTGAAAACTAAATGTAACAACACTTCCAGATGATAATCAAACATTGCCGTATAAAAAAACAAACGTTGAATAATTTGTTGAAGAAAACTGTTTTTATTTGTTTTCTATGATAGATGTCAAGCCAAATACAGTTTTCTATGATAGATGTCAAGCCAAATACAGTTTAAACATGCGTTTATAGCAACATGACTGATTGCTGTTAAGAGTCCAAATTCTATATCTGGTGCATAAGAATGCACTAGATGGTTCAAGGGATATAGAAGTCGTCCTTGAAAGATAAAGGATCAGATGTCGCGAAAAGTGATGACTAACTTTAGATAAATGCTAATAACTAAATAGAACACACTATTACCATGAAACTTTTACTAAAATTGAGATAAAATATCAAAAGCGTCCCAGAGATTAAAAAAAATCCAGTCGTGTAGGAACTAGGGCCTGGAAACATAATATATAAAAAAAAAATAACATGGAAAACATACAAAAAAAATATCCACATTTTGCTGGATTAATACATCCTTGTAGAGTCATAATCCTGACGACTTCTTCCAGATAAGGTGTCCAGCAAATTCTTCAGTGTAACAGATCGGTGGAATATTAACCGCCTATTTTACATCAAAGCAGCCTTTGGACAACCAAAATATCAACTGGATATAAATGCCTACGGCAATCTCACCAATGAGGATCCACAACTACCTGATATTAAACTGAAAGTAGAGTACCCATGATATGCCAGTATGAGAGAGACATTCAGCCGCAGCTACACTACAAGAAGTAATCAGGCGTTCTTCGAGTGACATCAGGTTCTCCTCTCCTTGGAGCAGGTTCAAACTGAAAGTAGTTCAAATTTGTGTACAGACAATCCAAGGGATGGAACTAAACAATATGTGGAAACTATGATGAATAACAGAGAAACAGACCTGGATAAATGTGTGGCCCTTGCAATCATCAACCTCCAATATGGAAGCCATGTTGCCACATCGGTAACAGTAATTAGGAGCACTGAAAATGGTAACCACCTTTTGTTCCTGTTTCAACAAAACAATGCATGTGTCTGAAATTTTACCCTATAACTATAAAGAGCAAATGCAAGAGATGACCATTCCATGAGAAGGACAATTACATGAGCCCAGTTAAATCCATCCATAACAAGCTGGTGAGCTCTAGCAATTAATTTAAGGCTGTTCGTGTGATTGAACTGTTCAGATATATCCTGAAAGAATGCAAATTGGAATTGAAGGTATAATTAAAACAGTAATAGATTGATCTCTCAGTGCTTCAGCAAATAATAATAATCATGCGCAGAGTTGAGATTAGAGCCATGTTTACCTGGCCAAAGGTGTATCCAGCCCCACGAGGAGAAATTCCCCAACCACATCTGTCATCTGGGTCAGACCATAGTAGATCACACATAGGCCCTTCATGAGGAACCTCTTGAACACGGTCAAAGTTTCTTATGTTATCAAGGGTCTCAATTGATGGTGACAGTCCACCATGCAAACAAAATATTTCTGATTCAACCTGGAAAGTGGCTTATTAAATTAGAAGCCGATGATAAAAAGTTTGGATCAAAACTAAACAACTTCTAATTTATTTGTGTCATTTTGATGAAAGTTGTTCAATCAATTTAACATCACAAAGCTTGATCAAGACAGTTATTTTCAATCGAGCTAGTCACAACAGAAACTCGTTTCAGACACGGACAAAGACCTTAATGATAGATTTGTCCGAACATCTGCATATCTATAAATATAATATAATCCGTGTTTAAGCAAACTACATGTGTTTGTTAAAACCCACTAGTCCACTTCATATGGATTCATCCCAATCTAGAAAGTTAAAATACTTTTTCTTAATATTGAACAAAAAGATATTGAGGCTAATTTTATCATTTATAAAATAGACACTGCTCAGATAAGTCATGAGACATGGTATATGGAGCAATATTGGCATTCTGCTAGTATTAACTTATTGAGGAAAATAATGTGTAGGTGAAAAAGCAGAAGTTGCACGTATGAGTGTACACGTGAATTTTTTTAACAGCTCAGAAAAAAAGATAAATGTTGACAATTAATATTGTGAACAGAAAATACAATTCATTCAAAAAAATCACTCCATCTTCCAAATTTTCAATTTACATCATAACTTATATGTAAACAAACACTTCAAATCACTGACAAAAATACATCCATAGAGGGGGCAAAAAGTACTAACCAATGCAGTCAACGGGAAAAAATCGAAGAGGTCTGTAAAGATCTTCCAGACATTAGCACTCCCATACCTGCAAAAAAAACAACTAGGGTCATGAATATGAAAAGAAGAGCAAGAAATTAGATCATTTAAATGCAAGAAACCACCCCCAATAAGGTAATATCTATATGATAAACTAAACAGCAAACTCATAAAGCTGAGCCTACCAAATCACAAATCATAAAGCTACATAACATAGCACACCAAATCAGCAGCGCAATTCAGATGCTCATTTGGAAAACTATGACATTATATGCCTACAAATATTACTCTAGACATAAGCATCTCGTGTTTTGTTCCATAGTAGGAACGTGTTCAAAACTTACTTTCTTAGGCACTCATCGTAAAATCCATATACTTGAGTAATCTGCATAAAACAAAAGCAATAAAGAAACAATGAGTTCAGCAAATTAAAAAAAAAACATTCAAGTCTTCAAATCAAAGCCTGTGATGTTTAGCAATGTACAAAACAACTAAAAAGCATCCAAGAATAGCTAAATTTGAAGTCACACAAGATTAAAGAGTTACTCGTTACTACGTAAGTTTATAAATATTAAATAAATTCCATAAAAGACCTCAGGAGACAAGCAACTTAAAAATTTTAGTGAAGAGGGAAAATATGAACCTGACGGCTTTCATGGTTTCCTCTAAGAATAGTAATCCGCTGAGGATACCGCACTTTGAGTGCCACGAGAAGCTGAATAAAACAACTAATCAGTAAGTTGGTTAATATAACACATTTAATCAAGGGAAATTAAGAAATAGATATATTAACAAACATAAATAGCAATGTAGCTTCACCATCAATCCACATCCAGCCTCGAAAGGCACCAGAAGTGATCTAAAACAATCATCCCATAACTACTAAGTGAATACCTAGAGAAATAGGTCAACCCTTTGGATGAATCTTTCTGAAAAATGGAAAAGAATTTACTACACTAGTGATTGATATTTAGTAAATAATTTTTCCAAACCTCAAAACAATGACATGTAAAATTAAAACACCAGTTCTGAAACGGCTTTCAAATACTTGACTAATATATATCCATTGCAGGTTTGAGATTTTAACATGATATGGGTTGTTTAAAACCATTTCCCATGGTCCACCAGAATGCACAGAAATCAACAAATTAATGCAGACAAACATGAAAATATGATTGTAAGATAACTTACATATCTAAACGATTTCAATGCATGTGTTATCCACATTTCTTCTTTGAAATCTTAACACATTTTAAAGCCTATTGGACATTCTAAACCTATTCTGGTATTCCCTCACTTAAATGTGACAGTGTTAAAATAATTTCAAAGCAGTTATCTGCCATTTGGTTACAGTTCCTTTAAATTCACCTCCAAATTAGCAAAAAATAACTATTGCAAAGTGTAAGTGAAAGAAAAAATCAAACAAGTTAATCCTGGGTGAACTTACTGTTACAGTCTCAACTGAATAATAACCCCGGTCCACATAATCGCCCATAAACAAGTAGTTGGTATCTGGACACTGTAAACAAAACACACACACACACACTTAGATTTAATATCTGAATGATCAGTAAATATATCATCCAAAAACTTGCAAAAAAATAGTTTTATCATGTTATAATTTGCAAAATTGCAAACCGAATATTGGGGTCATAGTGAGGTCAATTAGATAGTTCCCGCATTACTCCTTTAATACCTCTGACGCACTTTAAGCCTCAAGCTTTTCTTTGACAGGTCTCAATTAGTTAGCTACGATAATACATTCCCCAACTGTAACAGAAGATTGATTACAAAAAGAAATTCACAATTAGAAATTATACCTTCCCTCCAATTCGAAATAGTTCAGCAAGATCATGAAACTGCCCATGAATATCGCCACAAATTGTCACCGGGCTTTTCACAGGCTGTAGTACAGGAGATACCAAAAGAAAAAACAATTAATGTTTTCTTTCTCTAACCTGAGAAAATAAGAAATTAAAAGGTGCATTGAAATGCTGTGATGTAATTGGTATTGGCAAGCGGCTATATTGCACAAGGTCCCAAGCAATTTAACCATTTAAGATTGAAGGAAGTATGTCCTTTCAAAAATTAGGCCTTAAAAGCAATGACAGTATGTCCAATAAACCCAATATGGAGAAAAATAAAAACAATAAATAAAGTTTAAAGTCAACTAATTTCAGGTTTAATGAAGGAAAACTTTTCATGCAAAGCAAGCATTTAAACAACAGTGACGCAAGCATTTAAACAATATCTCCATAAACAGAAAAAAAGTCTCGTTGAAAATAAGACAGGAAGAAAGGACTCTCTCTACCTGGACATTACTTTCATCCATTAAAATCTCCTTAGCCTTCTCACATAATTCTTTAACCTAAAGTTAAAACAGAAAACAATATCATTAGTTAATTTTTATGTATTTGTTTTCTCCAGGGTGATAATGTTACAAGAAATAAATGAAGTGGGA